CTTCGATTACGAATCCTTCCCTTGTTTCGTTTATGGATCTTTCGGTTTTGCAAGAATGTTCAAATGTGTTCAAGTAATCGAATGAAAATGGTTAAATTGAATGACAGTCACATAGACTCAATAGTGTAAGATGTTTGCGGCAAGAGATTGTTGGAGCTGAACACAAATTCAAACATGGATAACTAATATAATCAATCGTTCCTTTATTTACCTGAAGTTTGACAAGTTATTTTAATTTGTACTTGTTGAAGGGTCTGATCTTGAGAGCTCTGAGGATGAGAGGAATACATCCATTGGGTCCTTCAAGCAGAAGGCAGCCCTTGCCTCCTCCATGTTCAGGCATTCTATGACACGAAGGGGTAGGAGAAGTAGTAGAGTCACATCTATGAGAATTGAAGATGTGCATGACACAGAGGAGCTGCGGGCTGTCGATTCCTTTCGCCAAGCATTGATTTTGGAGGAGTTACTACCTTGCAAGCATGATGACTATCACATGATGCTCAGGTTTTCTTTTCTCTTATCCTTCTATAACTCCATGTTTTATCACTGGTCCATGGACCAGTGAGAATTGTTGGGAGGGAGTCCATATTGGCTAATTTAGAGGTTGATCATGAATTTATAAGTAGGGAATACATCTCCATAGGAAAGCCCAAAGCAAAGCCACGAGAGTTTATGCTCAAAGTGGACGACATCATACCATTGTGGAGAGCTATGGTTCCTAACATGGTATTAGAGCCCATAATTTATGATCCTAATATAATTCTTGTAACAGAGGGAAGCCCTTAACTCCCCTTTCTTCATTCTCTTACAACTACATATTCTCTTGATTGGGATCTGTCCCAATTTTCAAGATTAATCTTCCACAGTATAGGGCAAGCACCACTATTGAACAAGTATATGATTTTTTTAAAGAAATTTCTTTTCAGTTTTTATGTTATAGTCTTACAACATTTCATTGGACATAGATTCTTGAAGGCCAGGAAGTTTGATATTGAGAAAACAAAGCAAATGTGGACTGACATGCTCCAATGGCGTAAAGAATTTGGTGCTGACACCATAATGGAGGTATTGGATGTAGAAATATTTGCTTAGGTTCTACAAATTCTCTGTATCTTTCCCCTGTAAACCAAGTCCCAAATTTTGAACTCCCCAATCGAACTAACTGACATTTCTTCTTTTTCCCCCACTCTTAAGGATTTTGTATTCGAGGAGCTTGATCAAGTCTTAGATTATTATCCTCAAGGGAATCATGGTGTAGATAAGGAAGGAAGGCCAGTATATATTGAGAAATTGGGCATGGTGGATCCCACCAAGTTGATGCAAGTCACTGATATTGAACGCTATCTGAAATACCATGTACGAGAGTTTGAGAGGACATTCGCGGTAAAGTTTCCTGCCTGTTCAATAGCTTCCAAGAGGCACATTGATCAAAGTACAACAATCTTGGACGTTCAGGGAGTGGTAAGTATGTCAATAGTAATATTTATTAATGGGGAATAATTAGTTGCAGACAAATGTTTTATGCAAGAATCATAGAGATTTATCGTCGTGGTATATGATATTGATGTGCACTGACTTGGAGAACTAGCTGATCTAAAAAATTTGTGTCCTTTGTGTTTCAAATTTTTTTTTTTTTTTTCCTTTCCCTTTTCCAATTTCACGGTGCAGCTTTCAAAATAGAACTGATTTGACAGGGACTTAAAAGCTTCAATAAGATTGCTCGGGAACTCATCTCCCGCCTTCAGAAAATTGATGGCGAGAACTATCCGGAGGTACTGTGGAATATTTGGTTTTCAGTTCTATGGAATGTTCATTTTACTCTATACTACGTCCTATACTGAACCCCAAAAGTGGTCAAATGTGAATGCAGACCTTAAATCGTATGTTCATCATTAATGCTGGTTCCGGATTTAGAATGCTGTGGAACACTGTAAAATCTTTTCTAGATCCTAAAACCACTGCAAAGATCCATGTAAATATGCTTCTCTGATCTCATCTTTGCCATAGTAAATTGTAGCAGATGTAATTAATTAGTAAACTTGCCAGGTTCTTGGAAATAAATACCAAAGCAAGTTGCTGGAAATTATTGATTCCAGGTATGTTACTGAAGAGACAGTAAACTTTCACGTATCGTATAAATTTGGAAATGTTCATGCAAAGTTTTGCCCTCCTGTTGTGGTGTCATGTTGCACCAGTGAATTGCCAGAGTTTCTTGGAGGCACCTGTACCTGTGCTGATCAAGGAGGGTGCATGCGTTCTGATAAAGGTCCATGGAAGGACCCAAATATATTGAAGGTCCCAATTTTTATCTCCAATTGTGTTACTTTCCATCTTTGGTTACAACTTCACCTGACTTTTACAATAACTTGGCTGTTTTAAATAATTGATGAACTCGCAGATGGTCAGCAATGGAACCCATAAATGTTCAGTGATATCTAGGGACAACGAGGTTTTTTTTCTTTTCTTGAGCTTAGCCTGCGTCCTTCTGGTTTCTTGTTTGAGTTTCCATTTTTTATTCTATTCATATGATCTCTTTTAATATTATGAGCTAGCATTTTGGTTCTTTCCGATTGATAAATTTTTTTGCATTTGTTATGCTTAATCGACTGGTGCAACAGGAAGCATTTCCTGATTTTAAGGATGTTTGCTCCATCTCCTCCAAACATCCTTTTAATCACGTTCAGCGTCCACTCCTGTCTCCTCTCCATGAGGTAAGTGAGCAAGAATTCAAGATTTGTTAGCTGAAATTTAATTTGCTTCACATCGATGAGTTCAATATTAATGGTTCTCAGTCTAAGCAGTAAGAATCCAATGTCTTTTAGAATTACAAGCAACCATTAATTGTAATAGCCTAAGCCCACCGCTAGCAAATATTGTCCACTTCGACCCGTTACATATCGCCGTCAGCCTCACGGTTTTAGAACGCACTACTAAGGAGAGGTTTCTACATCCTAATAAGGAATGCTTCATTTCCGTCTCCAACCGACGTGGGATCTCACAATCCACCCTCTCTTGGGGACCCAACGTCCTCGCTAGCACAACGTCTGGTGTCTGGCTCTGATATCATTTGTAATAGCCCAAGCTCACCGCTAGCGAATATTGTCCGCTTCGACTCATTATGTATCACCATCGGCCTCATGGTTTTAGAATGTGTCTACTAGGGACATGTTTCTACACTTTATAAGGAATGTTTCGTTTCCCTCTCAAATCGACGTGAGATCTCACATTAACTCTATAAAACCTCGTTTTAGCATCTGTTCCTATGCGTTGAGTAGATTTTTGCATGTCACAGAAGATTTTAAACTGGAGTAGTAATTTCCAGTTTCAGCCTGTGCCTTTGCTAGTAGAATTTGTTCTCTAGAGATGGCTCGTTTTGGGATTCTTAGCTAGCATAAATTTGCAGAACTGTGGATCTGTGTATACATATATGCAAACTGTTTTCTATATTTCGGGAAGTGTTGGATCAATTTCTTACCTCTAATGAAATAGCGCTAATTATATTTCTGAAGTCTAGCTGATACAAGAAAAAAACATGATAGGTTTCAATTACCAAGAATATTCGTGTGGCATACAACGAGGATTGTGTCCCCGTGGTTGATAAAACTGTGGATTTTGCATGGAAAAATGTGTCAAAAAAGAGCATGCCAGCCTCATCCAACGGTATATTATCTTTTTCTGATAGCTCTTTTTTAATTTATTCTTTTTAGTTATGCAATTTCATCTTTATACTGTAGAACGATAAAAACTTCTTTTTCTCCCAAAAGGGATGGAAATATTGGCAATATTTTGTTGGTTCGTATCTCTATTTCTACTAAGTTAATTTGGTCGTTTTTTCTTTTGGTATGTGTGTGCGCGCGCTGGCAGCAATGGATTTTGATATGGCTGGTTCAGGCGAGGTCCCTGGGGGTCTTAAATCAAAGATTTTGGCTAGTGTTTTGGCCTTCATCGTGGGAATTTCTGCTACGGTGAGGTTGGCTCGCACCATGCCTAACAAACTGACCAATGCCTCCATATACTCCGAACCATTTTACTATGTCGACGACTCTAACATGCTCAAGGGTCAGCCACCTTTATTTGAACCCTTGCCTGATTACATGTCAACCGTAAAACGCATGGCTAAATTGGAAGAGAGAGTCAATAACTTGTGCTCTAAACCTGCTGACCTGCCTCGCGAGAAAGAGGAACTACTCAATGCTGTAACAAGCCGTGTTGAAGCCCTCGAACAGGATCTTCTCGTAACCAAAAAGGTACCTCTATTGCTCAGTGATCAGTGGTCTTTTATAAGCTGTTTGAGTAGTAGTTCTGATCAGTAGTTTTTGCATATAGGTTCTGGAGGAAACACTAGCTAGACAAGAAGAGATTTTTGCTTATATTGAGAAGAGGAAGAAAAAGAAGAAACTGGTAATAATCTACTTTGACTAACCATATCATAAGCCAAGATCGTATTGTTTTTAGGCATGAGCACTAGAATCTTAGTGAACTGACTTGCTTGAATTTGGCTGGGATTGACTGTATGTATTGCAGTTATCGTTCCCCTGGTGATGGGATGAAAATGATCAGCCATGAGGCGTGGGGCGATCGCCTTGAACATCCATCTCTGCACTGTGTGTTAGAATCAGAGATCTGGTGAAGTCATTTTAATTTATGTACACATTATTTACTTATAATGTAAAATTAAGTCCTAGGTAACAAGAAGAAATCCCATTATCCTTATAAATGTGATGGGTGATGTAAATTAATAAAGTTTCTGCAAGAAATGAAATTGAAACACGTACGTTGTACAAATCAAAATGATTTGAAAATTGGAAAATACAACCAAAAGCTTATTTGTGGATCTCACTCCACCAAACAACATTATTGACATTCTTCTTTTTCAACTGAAACTGGAACAGCTATACAAGAAGCACAACCAAGAAGAAACCATTAAGAATACGTCTGTTTGTGATCTGAATTAGCTTTGTTTTTTGGCTGAGCTCTCTATTTTTGATGAAATATTTTGCGAATCTGTTGCAGTGTAGGCTCTTTCTTAATCATAGCCATGAATGAATGAGGCCCAAGAAAGAGGCATAAGGCATAGCCCTCTGCTCCTAAGATCTGGCCTTGGTTTTGCTCCATCTTCCTGGGTTGAACCCTGCAATTTTTTTGATAAATCTATGGCTTAGTGCTTCTTTCCATAGATCCTATTTACTATTCTTTTACATGTAAATAATATATTGTTTTTTTCCTAAGAGCAATAATATCATGTAACGTGCTTTACCCAGAAACCACCAAATGAAAAGAATATTACTTTTCAGATAATTCTGAACCAAATTATCTGAAAAATTAGGTCAAATAAAAAATATATATATATCTAAATGTAGGTGCCATGTCAGCAACAAACAGGTCAAATAATTTTTTATTATTAAACTTCTAATCCCAACCATAAAAGTTGATGGGTAATGTTAAAACACGCACTATCCAACTAATGTGAGATTTCACAATTCACTCTTTCAGTGTCCAGTGTTCTCGCTGACACTCGTTCCTTTTTCTAATCGATGTTGGACTAGACCCCCAATCCACCCATCTTCGAGGCTCAGCCTCCTTGCTGGCACATCCTCTCGTGTCTGACTCTGATATAATTTGTAATAGTTTAAGCCTACTATGAGCAAATATTGTCCTCCTTGGGTTTTCTCTTTCGAGCTTCCCTTCAAGGTTTTTAAAACGCGTTTACTAGAGAGCGGTTTCTACATCTTTGTAAAGAATGTTTCATTCTTTTCCGAACGATATTGTGTAATTTAAGCATAAGCTCTAGTGATTTTGCTTTTGCTTTCTCTAAAAAAAACCTCGTATTACTTATAAACTCATAATCATCCCTTTAATTAGCCAACGTAAGACTTCTCTTCCAAACAACCCGTAAATATATAAACACATAAACATAATATCATATGCGTATATCAACTTACAGGCTGCAGTTTCTGGTAGGGTTTGCTCTGAGACGACCCCAAATATGGCATGCTTAAAGTCTACAATGAAAGCCCAATTAAAATTACATCAGAAAATGTAAATATTATTGTTCATCATATGAATCAATAGAGAATAAACTCACCTCAACTTGGTCATGAAGAAACTGAATGTAGCCAATTGCTTCGGTTAGAACAGAGGAAGTATCAGTCTGAAAAAGATTGTTAAATTTATGGTAAGAAACTCAAATCAAGAACCAAGAACCAAGTATGGGTAAGTGGGGTTAGTTTTTTAAGCACATCAAACAGACCTAAGTGGGTTCTGAATCTCATAAAGGAAAGTGTTTATATATATATATCTATGCATATACCTTACCAAAAGGTGCAACCAGCCTTTGAAGTGCTGAAATCCTGTCGCCCAGTTTCTCTTTTCTCACCTGCAGTTCATATTTCAAAATTTAATCATCCACACAAAGAGTTTGGTCAGTTCTTGAAGTGGGTTGGAACCAATACCTTCAATGGTGGGCAGGATCTCTTTGATTCATGAGCATTGGACTTTTTAGCCAATGACGAGCTGTTAAGTGGTCTCTTTACTCTGTTGGAGCTGTTATTATGTATTGAATCTTGCACATACCCAAATAAGGCTCTCTTTTTGTTAAACCCACTTGAGAGCAACCCCAGATGCGGATCAGCAGCTTGTAATGATGAAGAAGACAACAAATCCAACGTTGAAGTAGTAGAAGTGCTGTTCCTTGTACTACTCGAAAAAACATTGCTGTAATAATTGGTATTGGATCCAGTTGATAGCCCTTGGAAACCTCCATAGCTTGTAGGAGATTGAACACAAGAATAGAGATTTGAAAGGTGGTGTTCGTTGGGTTGTTCTTGTTGTTGTTGTTGGTAATTTGATGAGAAATTGAACCATGGATTCTCATTCTCTCTTGAACATGGTAAGGTTTGATCCATTAAATAAGGGTTGTTGTTGTTGTAGGAATTTCCATCCCTGCATGTTCATGTGTATGAAAAAAAAAAAGGAGAGAAATGAATGCATGAATAATGAATGAAGAATTGTTGGAGCTTACAAGATGGTGTTGGGGATGCATTCATGAGTAAGAAGAGGTGGTCTTGGAGCTGGTACCAAGGATGAGTATCCACTGAATAGTTCTTGGAGATTTGCTGACTCCATGGAAAGGATTTGGAAGAAATATGGTGAATGATTTGAGGAGATGATGAGAGGTTTGTGTTCTTGTGTTCTTGTAAGAACAAAACCTAAATGGGTTCTAATGAGATGACTTGTTTATTAATAAGTTGCCTTTACTCTCTCTCTTTCTCTCTCTCTCTGATACCTATCAAGACCTTTTAAACGTGTTCATCTAAATTGAGTGTGCCCGTTGTGCCATCCTAACACTATATCCTCCATAACGATTTTGAATGAAATTATCTCTAGAATCGTGTGTCGTTTCAATGAAACGTAGATCATCGTCGTTTTTAATCGAAACTTGGGTTAAGCTCCATCTCGAAGCCTTATAGAGTTAGGAGTAAAAGTATACCGACGTTGACGCATCGAGATGGAGATCAAAAGCAGCTTTCTCCAAAAACCCTACCTACCCTCTATCTTGGCTGGTTTCCATATGATGTCATAAAGCAATATAGGGTTTCATTCCTTAATAAAAATTGGATTTTGATTACTGGGTCCTTCAGATTACAAGCAATACTTTTCTTTTAAATCTACTTTTGGCTTTTTCTTGTCACAGTCAAAACTGTGAAGTTATTGGGTTACAGTAGAAGCATGCCTGGATAGCTCTTTAGCTGATTAACATAATCACTGGATTAAGTGTTCAAGTTAATTCTTTTACATGTCAATATCAAACAAAGGTTGTCTATGTCACGACTATAAGCACTTTTAAATCTAATTTTTTTAATCTCGTAAAACATGTCTTACTATTCACAATTATGCAGCTCGTTTATTCATCTTGACATTAACAAAGAGCAACGTTTATGAAACGTTTTACCTCTTGAATCAAATGATACCTATTTTATGTCTGTTACATCCCGTATAAACATGGAGTGAGTGGGATACAAATTATAACACAGTCTGACTCCCAACTCATCAAAAAGTGAAAGAAGAATGATGGGTGATTTTTGTCATAGACCCCGCTTCCTTACGTCTCCTCTATTGCTATTCCCTCGTTATATGTTAGTATATGAAAAACGCTATCGATGTTGTATGGTTAAATATAAGAGGAAAGTGGTTTTAAAAAATGAGGAGGAAAGTCAACTGAAATATTAAATTGGGGGAAAGAGAGGGAAATGGGGTCAGATCCCACTACGTCTCAGTTTAAAGTAAAATTATAAAGAAAGGAAAAGAAAAAGAAAAGGTATAATGCGGGCTTCAAAAAAGTGTTAACAATAATTGGAAACGCAATAACATTGGGATTCCAAGATGCTTTCTGTAAATTCCATGTCTCTTTTATTTAAGTACAAAAAGGAAAAGGAGTCCCAATTGGAATCCACGTTACCCACCTTTTTCTTTTTCTTTTATTTTCTTATATTTTCTTCACCGCCCGCCTGGGACCTCTCTCTCTCTCTCTCTCTCTCCCTTGGCCGGAGACTCATAAACCATTTGTTTTTGGTATCAAAATGTGTGCCACAGGGAGGGTGTGTGTGTGTGCGTGTGTGGAATATGGATGGACCCAGAAGCCGTGGGTTCTGTGGGTTGCAGACCCCAACGCCCTGAAAACAAGGGCATCCAATCTCCATATTCTTAAAAGGACATCGGCCCCTTTTTAAACTTGTTTTCCACAAAACCCCACAAAAGTAGCCGCATTTTCATGCCTCTTTGTCTCTCCTTCTCGAACTCTCAGAACTTTTCTTTGCTTTAATAATTTTGTGCGGACTTTTGGGACAACAAAGTGGCTGTAGTTTAGTGGTGAGAATTCCACGTTGTGGCCGTGGAGACCTGGGCTCGAATCCCAGCAGCCACACTTTTTTCTTTTTTTTTTTTTCCTTTTTTGAATTGGAATTGGGTTAGAAAAGTCAAACTTGGGCTCCTAATGGGCCCTTTGTAGGTTTCTTGGCCCAATAATTGTCTCTTTACTTGGGCCCAAACTAAGGTCATGTTTTCTTTTTCTTTTTCTTTTTTTTTTTTTAAATTTTCTTCTTCTCTTTTGAATAGAGCTAGGAAAAGTCGAATTTGGGCTCGTAATGGGATACATTGGGCCGTGGGCCCAATTCAGACTTTGAATCTCTTGACCCGATAGTAGCCTCTTTACTTGGGCCCAAACTAAGGTCAGAAGGGGATCACGAAGTCTTTCCTTTTTGTTGAAATTTTCTCCTCTTTTGAGTAGGGTTAGGAAAAGTCGAATTTGGGCTCCTCATGGAATACATTGGGCCGCGGGCCCAATGTAGAATTTGGGTCTCTCGGCCCAATATTAGTCTCTTTACCTGGGCCCAAACTAAGGTCATGTTCTTTTATTTATTTTTTATTTTTTTATTTTCTTCTTCTCTTTTGAATTGGGTTAGGAAAAGTCGAATTTGAGCTCCTCGTGGGATACATTGGGCCGTGGGCCCAATGCAGATTTTGAGTCTCTTGGCCCGGCCCAATTATAGCCTTTTTACTTGGGCCCAGCGCCCGAGAGCTTGATTGATGACGAAATTACATTTAATAATTATTTGAATTAGAATCTATAAAAATTAAAAATATATTTTTATTACTTGGCGTAGATGTAAAAAGAAAACAAAATTAAAATATAATTTATTACAGTTATTGAGATGAATCTGAATTAATATAAAATAGTCTCATAAAGAAATGCCCGCGTGTTTGTATAGTTTATTATTTTATTTTAGGTAAGATTCTACCATTTTTTGTTAATGGAAAGTTCTTACCAGGCAATGCCCGCGTTGCTGGTGCAATGGCCTGATCATTTCCCGTAATCGCAGGTTTTCGCGGATGCATCCCGTATTTCGAGCCGAGAAACCAAACGGAGCTATTCACTTGAAGGTTTCAGGTATTTTCGTTTTCGTGTTCTTCATTCTCATTTTCGGAAGCAGTTTGGAGGCTTGAATTCAGCTGGACTTGAACATAGCTACACATTCCATTTTATCGCTATGGAGCTGGAACCGATCCGAATTCGTAAATGTAGTATTGAATATAAGTTTTAATTAGTATTTTCACGATTTATTCCTCAAATTGGATATCTGTTTCAATTTGTTCATCTTGCCTTTTTGAATCTTGCTCCTATGGTTCTCCTGGATATTTTGAACATGCTAGTGTTATTCGATTCTATATTCTCCCTGCCCTACACTAACTTGACGAATGCTTTAACTCAAGCCTTCGATTTTATGGCAGCAATATTTTGAGTATTAGATTACACTATTCAGGCTCGTGAACTTTTTTTTTTCTTTCTTTTTCTAGTTGTGATGCTTCTACTGAAGAGCTTACTAAACTTATTTGCAGCCTGCAGGATATGTTCAAACGTTGAAAGAAAGATAAAAATATGAGTACAAGATATCATATTGGTGTTTGTTCTTTACATTTACTACTATTCAGTGCATTAATTAGTAAGCTTGCATTATTCAGCTTATTTTGTCTCTTTTTCAAATGTTGAATTACACTTTCTCTCATACAGAAATTTCTTTGTTTAGATGTTCTTTTACAGGCTGTTGAAATGAATGCAATTGCAGTGCCAAGTTCCAGTTGCTATGTTTTTGACAATTCTAGTCACATCATTGACTTTGTATCCTACTCAGAATGGTCTGTATTACTACTTGCAAGGACCTAGATGTGGTAACAAGAATGACCAAATGCACAGTTCATTAGGGAGATGGGAAAACAATTTGCATTTGGAAAACAATCAAATCTAGGTTGATCATTTTATAACTTTCTTCATTGTGATGTTTGTTGGCTTCACTTTATCCCAAATGAATCTTTCTAGAGGTTCGTGATCAGTAATGGATTCATTTTAGGAAACCTTTTCCATGAAGTTTCTTGTGGCTTTAAGTGGATTTTTCTTGATATGGTTTTATTTATTAATGTTGGTGATCCAGTCAATATGTTAGCATCTTCATCTGTCATATTGAACTTTCTGTTTTTGTTCCTCTATGGGATCTGAAATCAACTTCCCTTTACATTTCTTTTTGCCTGTTCCTCAATTTTGCTTCTGGTGTTATTATGATTTTAGCTTACTTAACTTGACAATTAGAGCAGCTGGATTGGACACCCATTTGAATATGAGGAGAAGGTGATGTTCTTTTTACTTAACTAATGAAACTTTTTATTATATTTTTAAACTCCTTATAAATACATGAATTCAGGCAATATTGAGTCAAACATCACTTGATATAGGGTTCTGACTTGGTGGTTCAGTTTTGCAAAGATGTGGAAAGTAGATCACAAGTGGTAATGCATCTCTGTTAGATTACTTTACAATGACCTTTGATTTACTTTGAAGATATATGTCAGAGGGATTTTAGCAACATCTTAGTGCCATATTGATGAAGAAAGATTTACATACACATGCCATCTTTACTTGAGATTCGCCACTGTTGGAGTTCCATCAGTAAATGGTTAAGGGTTAGAGAGTAGGAGTTCTGGAAAATGTATATATTTTCTTCGGCCTGAAGGAAGTTGCTTTCCATTTCATTTTGGGTTAACCATTTTCCGGGAACTGTCAAAATTGACTGAGAAGAATTGCATTGATTTCATTCATTCTTTTATACTTGCTGTAGTTAAAGAATTGTGCCCTTCATTACATTGTTGCTAGTTCTCGCTCTGAAACAACTACTATAGTTTTATTATCTCTTGAATACATTTGATTCATATTTTCTTTTTCTATTCATGCTTTCAACGGCTTGGTCAGTCTCATTCATATCTCTAGTGCATCTGTTCCTGGTTAACCAGGGATATGTAGATTTTGGTCGATTTGATAAGTTCAACTACTTTGTATCTGGTTCAGGACATGCCGACTTTGTTCAAGTAAGCTTAGTTTCTAATGTAAATGGATGTTCATTTTTAGTTTTTTTTTTCTCTTGCATGAGAACGCTAGTAACGAAGATAACTTAAAGAGGAGTTTCAAAAAAATTCAAACTAATAGTTAAAATGTATAAAGATCAAATAGAAATAATCTTGAAAGTTCATAAACTTATTAGAATTTTTTTCTTTTAATTTCTATCGACTAAATAGACATAATCTTGAAAGCTCACCAACCGAACTTACAATTTGACAATTTTCCCTTAATAATGATGATAAGAATTAAATGAGTTTTAAATGCTTGCAGGGCC